GAGGAGGGGGGGGGGCTGTCCCGCCGCCGTATTGATCGAGGTTCGTATGATGAACTCCCCTATGGAGATGAGCGACCGTCAGGTTCACGACGTCGGCGACAAGATGACGATGACGACAAGTCGCGAAGAGACTCAAGAGACTCAAAGGTATGCACGGTTTCCTACAGTCACGCCGCAGATCTTTTCCATGGTATACGGCTAACATGCCTTGCAGAGACTCAAGAGAGACCGATCACGCGAACGATCCCCAGCCCGTGAAGCGCGCACACGTCCAAAGACTCCACCGGCTCCTGCCAAGGAGGTTGTCAGAAGCGGTAGTGAGGAGGGTGAAATTGAAGAATAAGCCCGCGGTTTCTTCATGTCCCCTTTATCTATATTGATCTCCTTACTTACTAGCACTTCTAGCCCAGATGGATATCAACTTCACTCCTTGCCCAATTTCCTTGAGTCTCCTCTATGTATGGGCTGTCTTGCAAGATTTATAGGCTTGCTGGGAGAAAGCGCCGGCTTTCCTTGTCATGGCCGTAGTTGAGTAGTGATAGTTTAAAAGGCATATTTATCAATGGAACCAAGTGCTGTGTAGCAATACACATTGTCACCTGCGAAACGAGCCATCTGTTGAAGACAGATTTTTGGTTTTTTTATTCAAATTGAAATCAGAAAGTATTGGATCCAGATGTGCTTCCCGCGAGGCTAGGAAGTCGGACGACAGTCATCCTGCTTGCTCCATTGTCCCTCAATCTGCGAACATCACCATGGCCTGTTTCGTCCCATCCTCCACCTCCCACTCGTGCGCGATCTCTACATCAGAGGAACGGTTGCGCTCCGTCGGGGACATTTCAAGGACAAGACAAGCAAATAACAAATCCACTCTCAAATAAAACAGATGTACAGGCCATTCAATCCGCAGGACCAGACAACAGGGGATAGACTGCCGTCGCCGTGGTTACTCGTCTGGTTCGTCGTCCTCGCTGGCGCTGCTCTCTAGCGGCGTCATATCTAGACCGTGCCCACCGCTGCGCTCCACAGAGGAAGCTGTCTTTTGAACGCCTCTAACGCCGGGGAATGCTTCGTGGAAAAACTGGTTGTTCTTGTTGCCCTTTTCAGGAGCTCTTGTCGGGGGTTTCCTCCAAGAAGAACTACAGAACGTTAGTACATTATTCTGCAAGCATGAACAAGGGGGATATATGGAAAGTACGTACGAAATTGCCGCTTAGTTTCTGTTCCTGATCCAACTGCGACCCGAGCTTGTTGATACGAGGGCGGTAGTTGGTGGGGTCGCGACGGAAAGTCACGTCCAGGTTTTTCAGGAAGCTGTTGCAGCCGGTGAGTAGGGACTCGGGACGGTTGGCGTGGGCGTCGATTCCGGGCTTGCCGTCAAAGACGATGACGCGATCAGCAAGGTAAGTAGCCATGATGAAATCGTGCTCGACGATGAAGGCAGTCTTCTTGGAGTGCATGATGAAGCGCTTGATGACGCGAGAAGCAATGATGCGCTGCTCGGAGTCGAGGTAGGCGGAGGGCTCGTCGATGAGGTAGATGTCTGCGGGCATGCCGAGCGACAGGACGATGGCGACACGCTGCAATTCACCACCAGACAGGTTCTTGACTTCCTGGTCAATGAAGTCATCGAGCTTGAGGGGCTTGACGACATCGGTCTGGAACTGAGGGTTCAGGAAGGCCTGCTTGATCTTCTTGAAGAAGAGCTGGCGGACGGTGCCGTCGAACTTTGGAGTGATGGTCTGGGGCTTCATGCTGATGCGCATATCGGGGACAGAGGCCTTGCTGTCGGGCTTGAGCGCACCGGCCAGGAGGCGGCAGAAGGTGGTCTTGCCGGTACCGTTCTCTCCCATCATGACGATAATCTCCGAATCAGTGAACTCGCCAGCGTCAATGTTGAGTTTGAAGTTGCCAAGCTGCTTCTCCATCTTGGGGTAGTTGAACGCACGGGACTTGTCAATGACGTAGTCGTCAGCGCTCTCGGCAAGACGGAAGGTGAGGGACTCATCACGGAAACGCAAGTTTTCGGTGGGAATGTGGCCGTCCAAAAAGATGTTGATGCCTTCTCGGACGGAGTGAGGTAGGGTAACGACACCGTAGACTGCGGGCTGGCCGTAGAGTACGCAAATGTAATCGGACAAGTAATCGAGAACGGACAAATCGTGTTCGACGACAATGACATAGTCATCGTCCCGGAGCAGAGATCGAATGATCTGAGCGGCACTCAGACGCTGCTTGACATCGAGATACGAGGAGGGCTCGTCAAACATGTATACGTCGGCCTTTTGCACACAGACAGTGCCAATGGCGAATCGTTGAAGCTCACCACCAGACAGGAGGGTGATGTCACGATCCATGATGTGGTTGAGTTCAAGGATTTCGGCAACTTCTTCCATGTTGCCGAGGGAGGAGCGGCTTGAAATGAGAGCCTTGACGCTCTTCTCTGGACCGCGAACAGCCTTGGGGATCTGGTCCACATACTGAGGCTTGACAACGGCCTTGAGGTCATCTTCCAACAGCTTGGTAAAGTAGTCTGGGGTTTTGTTAGATCACAGTAGCCATCATTGACCCATGTTGAACTTACTCTGCAGTTCAGAACCACGAAAGTGCTTGATAACATCCTCCCAGTCAGGGGGGTTATCGAACCGGCCCAGATTTGGCTTCAGCTTGCCGCTGAGAATCTTCAACGCAGTACTCTTGCCAATACCGTTGGTTCCCACGAGACCAAGAACCTGGCCAGGGCGCGGCATAGGAAGCCGGTGGAGTTTGAAGCTGTTGGGGCCATATCGATGAGTGACCTGGTTCTCGAGGTTCGTGGGCAGGTTGATGATGGTAATGGCATCGAAGGGGCACTTTTTCGGGCAGATACCGCAACCGATACAAAGACTCTCGGAGATGAATGCGAGGCGAGACTCGGGAGTGACTTCGATACAAAGCTTACCACTGCGAACAACAGGGCAAGACTTTTTGCACTCTTGACGACACTTGCGAGGGCGACACTGAGGGGCGGTCAGTCGGTACGGCGGGGCACGAAGAGGCGGGGGGGAGACTGCAGAAAATCTTTGACGGGCTCGAACTAACCTTGTCGCTGTTGACAATGGCGATACTATCAGGGAACTGTTAGCCTCAGCTCTAGACTGAACTTTGCAAAAAGTATACGAGTTGGGGTATTTGCGTACCGTGTCAGCTTGTCAGACATGGCGAAAGCGGCGTGAGGGTCACGGCTTTGACGGACTTGACGGTGGGAAAAGTCTAGGGTAAATGAAAAGTTTGGAGGGGCACAGAAAACAGTGGCCAGAAAATTGGTGGAGCCAGAGCAGGCGAATGAAGCTTGATTCGAAATGCAAAAAGGCCTCTCGCGTGCAGAGGAACCAGGCACGCGGTGCTCTTGGACCAATATGTTGTGAGAGAAAGAAATGGGAGGACTAAAAATGGACTGGAGATAAAATGGAGTCAAAAATATTCAGGTGGCGTAGTTTCTGGGTAGTGCACGCACACAATGCCAGCTCGTTTGAGAGTGTGTGGTCATCTATTTTTCTCGCCTTGTGAATCGTCGAGTTTTGGCGGGGCAGGGCATCAGCGGCAAAGAAATACTCTGGTACATGGCGGGGGTCAAGTGGCATGTTGGGGAGTCATGATTGGACATGATGGAAGTTAGTAGTGCATGGTTCCTTTGCAGGGTAACTTGGTGCGAGAATACTCGGGGCAAACCGAGCACCATCAAGTCCAGTGCTCCTCATCTTACACCTCCCTACTTAAGTGCCAGTTAAGAACTCCATCATTGATTTAAGCGCCTCCATGCTATGCTTATCCCATTCCATCGTTGCGAGATCCCAATTACTATGCGCGGCAGAGAAATGCCCCGCCTTGTGATTGGCGGCGGCCCTGGAACGCGCGAGAGCCTGCTCGAATAGGGGGCCGAGGACTGGCGGCATATGCACAAACTTTTTGACCGGCGACATCTTTTGGAAGCAATGGCGCATGTTCAGCTTCTCGAAGTGGACGAAGGGCATCGGCTCGCCCGTGTGAGTAGAAGCACCGCGATACAGTCTCGAAATCGCGAGGAAAATACGCGTCTGTGGTGGTGGAGCCATGATCGGATGTCGAACAGAATACGAGGATTCCAAGTCTGGCAGCTTCTTGAACCGCCTTAGGAAATGGCTGCATCGCCCAGCCCATGGAGATAATGTGAACTCCACAGCTTGTCGCCCAGCGAATGGCCTATACCTGTTAGGTATCATAGTTTGACTTGGGCTTGAGTCCTATGAGAGCTGAATTCTTATTTGTGCAGCTGATGTGGCAGTGATCCGTCGCTCCCCGCTCCCCGCCCACTTTGGCGATGTATAAGCTCACCTCGGGGCAGATCTTACAAATAAGCATGGCCATGTATATCCCATGGTTGCTTGACGAGGTATAATATGGATTCACCAAGTCCGTCATTGATTTGGCGAACATTTCCCCGGAGGCGATCTTCCCATCGAAGCCGTCCCACATGGCGTCTATGCCGTCGTCTATGATCGCGATCTTGACACGGCCTGTCATCTGCGGGCTTGGGGTCTTTCTCAGCAGACTGGAGAAGTTGGCCATGCAGTCATACCAAGGGATTTCACTGCCGCCGAGTAAGTGCGTTGGCCAAAGACAGGCATCGACAGCGGAACGGATAGATGCTACTAACGCTTGCACATCACCCTCGATGCTCTTCATTTCGAATGGATATCTGATGTCCAGTTTGTCTACACCGTAGTACACTTTGACTTGGTTGTTGGTTTGCTCCTCAATCGCTTTCTTGAAGAACTCGAGGTATGCCATTAATAGGTCATGGTCTTCTAGACCCTGGGAATTATTAGCTTGGATCAGTTCCCTTGCTGGGAACTCGCCGGTTCCTCCTACCTCTTTAACGAAAAGCTTCACACGTTCAAGCTGCTGGGCGGCCTAGATCAGTAACAAAAGCGTCGTGGGAATATGGGACAATGACAGTCAACTTAGCTCGGGAAACTTTTGTCGATCTGACAAGCTGTGTGGACTCGCCCAACCCATCAGGACGGCATTGTTACCCGTCGAGTAGAGGGATATCTGCTTCACGCATCTAGTTGCATTGCAAATTACTTCTGTACTTATACCATTCGCTTCCAGTCCCAGATCTCTACATCGAAACCTTGCAACGCCTCCTCAATGCTGGCATCAGAGTGGGACGGAAATGACCTTGATGATCCTTCTGACCCCTTGTCTCCGTAGCCAGCTGAATACGACTGCAAGGTCAGAGCGACCACGTGAAAAGGCTGTTTGTCACCAGGATGTACATAGGGTGTGAAAGCGCTGGGTGGTTGACTCCTGCATTCAGACGTATAAGTAGATACCTACCTGCTTCTTTCCTGTCCGGGATCTGCTGAAGACTCTACGGTGATCTGAGGTAGAACCACTTGTTTAAGTACACTTTCAAACCGCAAGTGCCGCGATAATCGGTCGAGATATGCTTCTTTACTAGCAGGGTGCTCAAGCCCGCTTAGGTTAAAATTGATATGCCGTTCTGAAAAGTCGGTGAGATCTAGGTCGTATTCAGGGGTTAGCTGCGGAACCTGAGACGCACCTCGACCTAGCTCATAAAGGCATGCCATAATTCTATCACGAGACAAGTTTCTCACACAGTACTGCTTGATATAATATCCTCGGGTTGGCGACGTCTATCCACACCCTGGTTCGCTTCTTATGCCTTGCTTCCCTTGACGCAAGGTACTCTTGCCGGCTACAATAGTGGAAACGACACGGCGGAAGAGCCTCTCCGTTCAACGTCTCCAAAGCTTGGGGATATTTGTCGACCAGCAACTTGACCAAGTCAAGCTGGTCCGCTGTTGAACAGGTGAACATCTCGAATATTCGACGGCTTCATGCAGTGGAGTATTGCCGTACATGTCCTGCTCGCGGAGAGTTGCCTCGTCGGCTTTGTTTGCGAGGTAAAGCGCAATCCTTGCATCTTGTCGAATGGCGTAGTGGACATAATTGCCCCGTCTAAGACCAAGGCATCTGATGGCAGCCTGAGCCTTGTGTAAATCCACTGATTCACAGAGTAGTTTAGTGGTCTCTAGGAGTCGCCTGCCGATGCTGAAGTCCAGTGGCGTTTCTCCTATGTCGTTGGTTTCCGCGAGGTCCCTGGTCATGACAAGACTGAGTAGTGGTTCAAAAATGTCGAGTTTGTCGTCCTCAACTTGTTCCAGCAAATGACGAATCACTTTGTTCCCATGTGAAAGCGGTCCGTCTAACGCCGGGAGCAAGCGGTCGGAAAGTTCCTTTCGCACTGGATTTTCTGGATCTCATCCTCCCACTTCTTCCTTAAGACGCTCTACGAGCTCGTCTTGGCAGCGATCGTCGTCGCCACGCCAATCACTTTCAGTTGCGTAATCGCTGGTATCCTGACCATCACGAGAACCCGAAGTTCGACCTGAGCGAGGGCTGCCTCAGGCCTTCAGGGCTCATTGACTTCTTGTATTCTTAGAGACCTCTGACCCTCGAAGGTCCCCTTGGAAAACCAAGGGCCTTTGATACCTCAAAGTTTGTCTATTAGATTGAATTGAACCTCTATCCCAAGCCCACTCATACTGCCCTTGTCACAATTTGATTTTATTGTTTACATGTCCCGCAGCGGTGCAACCACTCAAGTCACCAACCGTCCGCCGTCGTCCAACAACCGCATGAAGCTGACGAAAGACACCGGCCATATGACAGGAGGACCCATGTCTGACATGGCCAGCTTGTATTATGTAGATGGCCCTGTAGACAACCTGGAACGTCTTGCAGAATATCTGAACAAGGAGGATCTGGCTGAGGCAGCGTATATCGCACCAGCTGCATCTGTGCCGCTCACCGTTCAACCACTCGTTGCGCCGCAAACCATGGACGTGCCCGCCGTAACGCCTAGCTTCACGTCGCGCCAGATTTATGTTGGACCAGAGCCTGCAGGGATGGACGCCAGCTATGCCAACTCACTCCCCGGAGGAAAAGGCGAGGAAATAAGAGTTATCGACTGCGAATGGGGGTGGCGGTTTACGCATGAAGAAGGGGACAAATCCCACAGACGTCGGCTTCGTAAACCACGGCACTGCCGTCTCTGGCGTCATCAACGGGGACGTCGACATTTTTGGGGTTCTTGGTATTGCGCCGGAGGCCATCTTCCATGGCTCTTTCTCTCTCGGGCACCCCGTCGCTACTGCTATCAAAGCGGCGGCCGACAAGTTGCGGCCAGGTGATGTTATACGCCTCGAGATCCAATCCACCCAGGATCTTGCTTCTCAGATCAGGGAAACCGGGATAGTAGGCTCAGCTCATAGCGCCGATATTCGAACCTAGACCCAGACTCTGGCACGGTCTCCTTCCAGTTCTTCGCGGCTGGTAAGTAGTTTATGGAACCGAGCGACTTCTTCATTGATCTTTAATCCGAGCTTTGTTGCTCATCTCTTACGCTAGGTAGCAAGTTCTGATGACATCATTACCATAACGTCAGGCATGACAGCATTTAGTATGTTTAAGCCCAATTTTTCGTCTTGCTATGCCGTCGGATACTGTATCTCAGGCCCGAGTGCCGACCATATCGCTGAGTTCGATTAGATGTCCTCCAAAGGAAAGAATAAATGGCCGGGTTCTCGCTTTGGTTGACGACAAGTTCAAAGAGACGCTGCGCTGCGAGCACACTGATGGTCTAGAGCTTCTGAGAATTCTGAAAATCCCGGGGCCTCTAGAGTCAAGCTCTGGCCGATGCTCATACTTGATCTGTCATATCTGGTAACAAATTCATGTACCAGGAATCAAGTTATCCTTGTGGCGGGCAATCATGGAGATGCATATAGTAAAATTAGACGTAGAGTCTCGTCACAGCTACGCTACGCCGGAATTCGCGGACTTCACAGAATGCGTCGTCACCGATATCTCGCGTGTTCTGCCCAGTGAAGCTAGACGAACCAGATGTCCCGGCTGCATTCGTACTCGCCGTGAAGGACGCCGCCGAAGTTGATGGCGAAAATACGGCCCATCTTGCATTGAACATCAACGTCAACTTTGGTGGTCTCGTTCGAGTGGATAGCGATGGAACTGTGCATATACGTGACAATTACATTTTGCTTCAACAAACAATTGGAGGCAATCAACGGCCACTCTAGTGGGACAGCAACCGAGTCATTGCACGAAAGGTCCTAGCATATATCTCATTACTGGCATAGCAAGGGCCTGTACACCTACTGACAACAGGAGACGGCCATTCCGATCTTTTTATATGCTCAGTTTTGACATTGGCTAAATATTACAAGGAGGGTAGAAGTCGACGGGACTCTGATGCCAACACCGGACAAAGCGAATTACAGGAACTCCGGCGTTTACTGAAAAACAATACCCTCATGGATGTAGGGCGCAGCTGTATTTGGGTTCTGGAACACTCCTAAGCTGAGAAGCGAATGGAGCTATCCATTATGCGTTTGCAGTCGAGGTTGGGTGCCAAGATATATTTACGACGGCTCTTGAGGTGGCTATCAAGCGAGACGACGGAGACCTCATCCATGCAATTGTGGATTCTGGGACTGCCAACACTCATGCATTGAACATCTTAGCCTCTTGTACTATTTCACAAGCCGGAGAATCTGGAACCAGAGAAAGTCCAGGTTTTCACCAAATTTACGCTGCAACTGCGCGAGCGGCCATCTTCTAGGAGCTAAGAAACTCGTCAGCCTTGAACTTTGCTTCGAGCTCCGCGATCATCTTCACTCACACCCACTCAGCCGCTTTGCATACATGAGACCATAGTTCCCGCTAGAAAGCTTCAGTTGATGCAGGTACACGTAGGATGGGTTGAGCTGAGCCCTCTCCTCATTGCTGCGTCTCAGGGTTCCTCGACATTGGGCAAGTTTGCGATACAACTCGATGCTCTTGCCACAGCATACTCCAGCTCTCTCACAAAGTCATCCTTCTTTGGTTTTTGTGATGTCTGACGCTTCCTCTTCCGGTTCTCGTTAGGCATTGGGGCTAAAGGCTGGCGGCCGTGGAACTCCGCGCGCTCGAAATCCACAATCATCAACCCACGGCTTGTTGTATCGTATAAAATGTTGCGAGGCTCTGCGTCATGATGGAGAACACGCAGATTGTGTATTGCCTTGAACGCCACGGAAACAGTACTGCCAATGCCCGCTTTCATGGCCCGGTCAACACAGTCAAAGATCGGCTGTCCAGCCCAGCTGAGGAACATGAAGTGCGTATAAACCCCGCTGTCATAATAGTATGGTCGGACCAGGCCAATAGTGCCGAGGCATACCGGGACATACTTCCCTTGGATGGGCTGGAGTCGGTCATACATATCGTTCTCGTGTTGCAGGCAGGCAAGGTCTAGGCCCTCCACGCCCTTGGCCACTAGTGTATAGCCGTGCGATGTCAGCCGCACCTTGAAGAGTGACCCACGAGAACCAGATCTATGGAGCGGCACGCAATCCGCATCCCGTCCGCGGTCTACAGCAAGCTGGTGTCGGACGAGCCGCAGAAACTCTAGTCGACTAATGCGCTTTTGCCCTTGCCCGTGATAGCCTGCGTTAGGGCAGTTTTTGTCCATAGGTCCTCCATATGCTAGCCCCAGGAGACAACGTTGAGTACAAAATGGGCGGCTTTGTATATCCGGCTTCTTCCCTGGACCTAACTCTTTCTGTTGGCCTCTGCGCCGTCCTTGATTCCTTTTACCCGAGCTCGTGTCCGCCGAAGAGAACGCTCTCCCACCCGTGCGAGGTGGATTCGGCGTAGGAGAAGGAGGATCTTCGTCATCGTCCTCTAGTCGTCTAGCGCTTCTGTTCGGTTGCTGGCAGCTGGAGCGAGTGCGAATTGGCGATCTCTGAAATCCCTTCCAACGCTGTGGCTTATAAGGGGAGGCACGTGGTTCCTTGCGTTTACGCTCCGACGGCGGGATATCTCTCAGAATATCTTCGAACTCGACATCCCAGATACCAAGCGTCTCAGCCTCATCATGCCACGTCTCAGGCGGTGGTCTAGCGCGGAGAGACTGGAGAATGAAGGCGAAAACCTGCGCGACAGCTGTGCGATGGAGCCTTGTCTCATCATCGTCCATTACGTCGAAATTAGGCACGCATACTGAAAAGTAAACTTTGGTAGGATCGTCTGGAATGTGAAGGAAGATGAATGCCTGTCCAGTGCATACATAGCCGTACTGAATGCCTTTGCCGATCATATAAGAGAAAAGCTGAGTAATGACGGCAGCAGCGAGGCGTCTGGCTGTGAAAGCAAAGCCCTGGCCACTTTTGTTAATCACATCACGTTCCGGCTGAATTTCCGCCTCAAGCCCAGTGGTGATGTCATCAAGACTAAGCTTATGCGGTGCCTTGTATTCGATAGCGACAGTTGGGGCACTTTGGCCGTCCGAAGTCCTATATATACAGAACTGGTCCGCCCGATTTCCCTTGCCTCTTGCTTTGCGACGAGCCTTAGGAGCTGGCGGCAGTTGCACCTGCGTTGTAGCATCGGCGCCATCTCTGCTCAGCGACATGTGCTCCATGGACGCAGATATGGGGTCGTTTATCGTGCCGAGATTCGTATGGCTCTCGAACGTTACTATTCCCTGGAGACCAATACTATTTCGTACTAATGGATCTTTGTGTGCTCGATCGACTAACTTCTGAACCGCGTTTTCTACTACATCGCGCTCGAAGTTCCGGAGCCCATGTTCACTACTAATAGGCCTGAGCAATGACTTGACGTATTCCATCTGATGGTAAGATGGAAATGCGGGCTTAGGGAGCAAGTCGCTGATTGAGAGATCGTTCCAGATTTCTTCTTGTCTCATTGCAAAGCTGTCCCAAGGGATGATTCGTTTAGGAAAGATGCGGCCGGTCGGATCGGTGGGTTCTCCTTGCGTAGTCAAAGATCGGTCTGTTACGACGTCAATAGAGAGATCAAGCGAATGGCAGGCCTCAAGATACCGCTGGAGGTCCAGTGGAAACGAGGCTTTTGCTAATTCTTCAACTTCTTCGCGTCGACGTTGTTCTTCTTCGCGTCGACGCTGTTCCTCCCGAAGTAAACGACGCAACTCTTTGATTTCGTCCATTGAGATTTCAAGAAAGGCGGCGGTGAATAGGATAAGACTTTATATAGCTTTTAATCACGAAGAAACTAGCGGCATGTTTTTGGCAGGATGGTCAAAAGGGGGGAATCGCGTGAGGGCCTCGAGCCCTTGTTATGGTTCGCTCAACACTAAACAGACAGCCCCACTATTATCCGCCAAAGTCGCTCCAAGCGCGGTAAAAATAACCACACACAGTCGGAGATCAGCTCCCGCGCAGCCGTACTTGATGCGCTCGAGAGCTGCATTGAAGGTCACGAATCCTCACGCAAGGCTGGCTTCCTTCATAGATACATTTCCATCAATAATCTCACGGTAAATGAAGACAAGGTGAACCCTTCCTGGTGAGCATTCTTTGATCGAACTTGACCTTGCTATTAGAGAGCACCTATACGAGGCTCCGGGAGACTATCCCTAATAGCATGTTACTAGCATTTAGGACGGGCGGCTACGTAACAGAGGGGTTCGCAGCAGACGCTCTTACTTTCTCTCACCTGACGCTTGCAGCCGGTGCGTGGGGAGTCTAGGTGATCAGAAAAAATACAATGCTTCAGCGGCGGCTCTATAACGGAGACAGGGAAGAAGCGGCGGCTAAATGACATCAGTATATTTTCTTTGTCTTAACCGCCTTAGCAGAGAATTCTGATCTGTAACGAAGATTCAGCAGGGCTAAAGCCTTCCCTTACATCACATGTCACCAGCGTAGACATTCCCCTAAACGAGAAGAATACTAGTCTTACTTACTATGCCAACGCTAGTAGCGTTAAAATAGCGAGAATAGCTAATTTAGAGAGATTAAAACATGTTCTTGGAGACTACCTATAGTGGCATGATGGTAAGCTGCCTTTAAAAAAGGGAGGTGGATAGACGAATTATAACCCTAACGGACGCCGTTCGTTTACACCTAGCATATTAAAGCGGCGAGGATTTAAAGTCAAAGGTATGGCTATGTGCTACGGTTAGGAAAGCCGTAATTGAGGCGAAGGCCGATTCAAGTTAAACGTGTGAGAAGCGTCCTCCAGGGGTGACTATCTCTTTGCCGTAACGTCAAGTAGTAATTGGTGGAGGCAAAGGCAACAGAGGGGATTCATCTTAGCGCACTCCATGTCTTATTCCCTCACAGTGATACTAGTAACTATAAGTTTCATATAATGTTGAATTTCAAGACAGGTCGTTGCTTATTATATAAACTTTGTGCATGGCAGTACTCCTGGTATGCGGCCATGATTTATTGAAACCACCATCTCAGTTTCAGAATCATCCGGCGCCTCCTTTTGGTTGACTGGAAGGGACTCGAGAGCCAGGGAGATCAAGTGCCCGGCGATGTGATCCTTCAAGCTACCCCTAGCCTCAGCCTCGTCTTTGCCACACAATGGACACGAGTGAAACAGCTTTGCCGTCTTGCGAGTGTTACTCGCTACCACGTCGCGGATTTCGCTGTCGCTGAATTTCATGTCGTGGGCATCCCGCAGGTGTTGGATATACTCTTCAGGAGCTGAAAATTCATGTTCCTCCCCGAGACATGAACAGAGCCATATCGGACGGTGCTCGTATAAATGCCTGAGACAGTCATTTCCCGTGTTACAGATCTCATCCGGCCGGCCGCGGTCCTCAAAGAGGCAGACGTAAGGGTGCAGGTCATTCTTGACGTGGACTCTGGAAGGTCAGTCAGTAGTGTCACTTCATGTCAAGAGCTCTTGCATATTTGGTGACTTTTGGTTGAGGGTTTGGTAATTACTCTTGGCCATTTCTCCTTGTCGAATATCTCTTCGACTGGGAGAGTGTCGAAGCAGTAAGGACAAGTGAACTCTCTTATATCTCCAAAATCTGAGTGCAGACCGCTCTCGAGTTTTGCCCTTGAAGACGATATGTCCATCTCGGTTTTATGAGCAGTATTCCAGTCAAGAAGAATATTCGGAATAATGTCCTTGTAGGCAAGTAACTCGAAAGCTGTGAGCCTTTCCAGGTAAAAGGTTGGAGCGCTTTTTGGTCTGGGGCGTGGCAATATGAGTATCATCCTGTCGCAAGCGATGAAGCAGATAGGCTACTGGACGCTTTGGAAAGTACCTTGTGCGATGAGACGGTTGCGTTCTCTTCAAGTTGTTTCCTGTATAGAATTAATCTCCGCCGAAAGAGCATTGTGCGGGCCAGTCTCTGTCGGAGAGTGTCGCTTATGCTAGGGAACCGATCGCGAAGGTAATGTTCAAAATGGCTGAGCAAGGCTGGTTCCAAGTCTTTGCCGTCGCCATTTCTGATCCGAAACCCACTCGTTTGAGATTGTTGACATTATTACCAGCTTCAAGAATAATGCCTGACCTCTAACTGAGGAGATCGATCTCGCCCGCAATATTTCTCAAAACCCGGTCCAACGCATCATCCCCCGGGGGGGTTTACAGCATTCGCTGCAGGCGACCTAGGAAGACCATGAAGGATAGCCGAACCTGTGTAGGCGTCAGATTGACGAAGATGTCGGTTTTGGGCTCCAGGAGCCGGCGCGAACGAAAACCATGAATTGCAACGAAAGTGAGACCTACAAGTTCGAATGCGATAGTTCAGCGACTCCAGTAGATCCGTAACGACGGTCTGCACTTCTGGAACATGTTGGAGACGATAGTTCAAAAATGTTCGGTCAGTAGCAAACATTCTTATGTCTGTGGTCCAAAGGGACAACCTTGAAAGTAGGCCCTCTACCATCGATAGCTTCTGGGGATAGACAGACGACGCCTTGGAGAGGCATTGCTGCAACGATAGTAGGCACTGTTTGGCGGATGCAGCGACGGTCAGCCGCTTTGCCTCCAAAGTAGCGTTGGCGTCCGCCATAGAGACGAGGTTGCCGAAGTTTGGTGGATAAGTGGGCGTTCGAATATGCGTTATTACAGATTGGAGATTGGGTTGGGGGACTGCAATCGGTGTCGAGTAGGCCAGAGAACGAGTGTTGGAGTCTGGTAGTTACTTGAGCAGCCGAATAGATGTAGTCACGTGTAGTCAAATGTACAAGACTCAAGGCACAAAGGTACTGAACAGGCACTCAACAGTAGCTGTTGGGGGGAAGCCTCATACAAGTGTGTGAATATATACTACACATGTCAAAAGTGAGGTAATACGCCAACTTTGAGCTTCTATGATTGGTCAGCTACACACGCTGCAACAAGGTGTTTGAAGAGGTCGTCAGCCATGACAAATGTTATGCCTAGTTGGATAATCTCCTCTGGTCGATAGCCCCTTTCCCGTTTTATAACTCCTTTGATGGCAAGTGAAAACGTCACGGACGAGGAACTCGATTTAGCAAGTCATGTCACATGTGTCTATCTGAAGTCCGCTATATTAACAGTTCGCAGCTCTTCGACGTCAACGTTGAAGCATGTAACATATCTACTCAAGTGTTTAGGCGCAAGCTCTCATCACTAGAGCGACCTGGGAAAATCATCAATGTTGCTTCCATCACTTCCCATCAAGCTGGATTCAATACTGGTGTTTACTCTAGTACAAATGGAGCCGTCATGCAAATGACCAAAGCTTTGGTAATGAATGGGCATCCAGGTTAATGGTACTGCCCCGTGCTTCATGAAAACAACAGTGACTAGTCAATACGAATATTATCAGAGGATGACGGACTAGCTCGTGGCAAGAGTTCCTGCATCTCGGTGAGGTGAGCCTGAAGACTTGGAATCCGCCATCCTATTTCTCGCTGCCCCTGCAAGCAAATTCGTTTCTGGTCATATACTAGCCGTTGATGGTGGATTTCTAGGCAAGTAGTGTGCAATTGTACAATCGATCCCAAGGAGATTACTTGGCTTTAACTTCTCGACTCTTATGTATATATACAATCCCCACAGTCGACGTGCGGAGTATGCGGGCAATGTGCCAAGCTGCGTGACGAGAACTTGATTAGGTGGAAGACGTCTCGCCCTTATAGTATAGCTCATGAGTCTCCGATCGGATAAAACGCATCTATGGACACGCCTGTAGACCAGCCAGTTCTTCACCATTGAGAACTTCTGTGCAGCCGAGCTTATCGTGTACGGGTTTCAATTTTGCATCTCGCACCACTAACGTAGGCGCCAGGACTCTACACTCATAAGTAGAGAGAGAGGAATAAAATCCATAATCAGTCAATTTCAAATAAAAAGAGGCATGGCACAAATAAATATGTACCATGTCTTGAGCTGCTCAATTATACCCCGGTGTAACTGACGCTACCTCGTTAAAATAGCATACCATTTAATACGTAATGTTCCTGTAGCCTTCGAGTGGACTGTCAAAATAATATGTAGTATCGCTCCCAGGATTCTCTTTAGTCGAGAAACCGTTACCGAGATAGGCAAAGCGATTTCTACCAAAGGTCTGCCAGTTAAAGTCCTCGAAGCGCGGCTTCTCAAGCATATGAAACCAGTGTAATCTGCTACCCGGGTGCAAGGCAACGATTGGCCCATCAACTTTCCCGTTCTTGAACCACGATCGACAGTGCGTACTCCAGGCAGTGCGCTTCATGAAGATGTCGATATGCTCAGCGAAATCCGCTACAGCTTCCTGCTTAGGAGCAATCGATTGAATGCCTTCTGTCTGGCATTTATAAAGTATCTGAATAATATACTTGGCAGCGTGCTCTACGATGGGTAGTACAGATCCGTGTCCTATGGGGGCGTTTGGTCCAAAGAACACTAGGCGCAAACCGAGGTTAGTAAGGCCACGGTGGCAAACAAAGGGTTGTGGAAACACGTACTAAAGTGGTTTGGGAAGTTTGGGACAGCTAGAGACAAGTAAGCCTCGGGTTTGTCTTTCCACTGGTCCCCAAGTGAAATGCCGTGCTCTCCTATCACTGGATATCTGGGGCAAAATGATATATCGAACCCCGTGGCACATATGAACATGTCAACTTTCAAGATCTCTCCAGTCGAGGTCTTGATGCCCTCTGGGACAATTTGCGAGATGGCGTCTGTCACCACACGAACATTTTCTTTGGTAAGCGCCTCCAGGTATCCATTCCCTGGCGTGGGACGTCGGCAACCAACGGCAAAGGTCGGTAGCATATGCCTTAGTAGGGGGGAGTCTTTTCCCAGTTTTTCCTCCATCTCATTGCTGGAGAACCTCACTGCTTCCTCCTGTTCAGGGCTATCCTTGATAATCTACGGTGGCGGTTAGTTTCTGAAAACGAGCTTCTTGAAAGCAGACAGCGAACACGTACAAGTTTAAATCGAGAGTTCAGCTCAGATTCGATGTCTTTACGGTAGTCCATGTAGGCTTCCGGGTCCGTTCTAAAGGTCTGCTTTTGCTCCTCGGAGACTGTACCTAGGTTTAGCGAATGAATGCTAATAGTTTGCTGGGGCACTATACAGGAAAAGTTTGATCCACCTGGGCCTGCTTTGCTCTGGGCAAAGCCGGCGGTAATCCAGGTTGGTGTTCGGATGAAAGTTATCAGCTTCTTAACACCTAATGATCGGTAAGCGACCGACCCTATGGTGTAGTGCCACAGAATTTTAGAAATAATTCGCAATACCGGGTTGTATTGTGGGAGCAATTTGGACCCCGGACGATCCAGAGCCAAGGACGGCCACAGACTTTCCTCGCCAGTCTGCCGATGGATCCCACGCCGCGCTGTGAAGAAGTTGGCCTCTAAAGGAGTGGAGTCCAGGGATGTCCGGCCACTTCCAGTTGCTATCATGGGTCAGATGAAATCACCTACATCAGTCGCAGACGATGACTGACTTTAGAATTCCGGAGCCACTGATGAGGAAATGACACCAATCGTTGATGACAGACCCATCGCTTACATTCTCAATCTTTACATTCCAAATACCCCCCTCTCCATCCCACGTGGCGTTGATGACCTTGTGGCTGAGCTTTATGAATCGGTATAACTCGTATTTTGCTGCCAGCCTTTTAAAATACTCCAAGATCTCGGGTGCAGAAGAGTAACTGGCAAATTGTGAGTTTACGGCTCAGAAAAATAGCACTAAGCGGCGGAGAATGCCTACAAACTGGTCCATTCTGGATTGGGCTCCCACGTGAATTGATAATTGTGAGACGGGATATCACAAGCACATCCAGGATACCTGTTCTCGTACCACGTGCCTCCCACTTCAGGGTTCTTCTCGTAAACAATGTGCGTGACTTGCTGCATGTGCTTGTTGATCTGGTAGGCGAGATTTAAACCTGAAGCACCTGCACCTACAGTGATAATTCGCAAATCACGCGGCTCTCCCAGTGCCTTTTCGACAACCTGGTAACCGTCCGTTGATCCTTTGGCCGAGCCGCCACTAGCACCGCGCTCCTCCGCCACGGGAGTTTGATTAAGAATGTTGCCCATAGTGCGCAAAACTGTCAGGTTAATGGGTCAAGATTTCGTATAAGGAAAGTGGTCGTCGAATCTAGTTCCTATTCAATGTATCGTGCTCATACTGAGCTCCGAAATCAGAAACCAACTTATATCGAAGGCCAGAGCGCCACCGGCGGGAAGAAGCGAACTAACCCCAACGGCGGGAAGAAGCGAACTAACCCCACCCGAGCCAACTTGGTGACAACTTTGCCTTCAGTCTTGCCGTGCACGCGGGTTGCACAAAAGGCCGAACACCTGTGTGTGTGGTTATGGGTGCGGGGTGTGCGGCCTTTTTTGCAACCCGCGTGCCGTGATTACAGGCCACACCCCCCCACCCCCACCAAGCTAGAAAGTGGAGCTATCTCCACATCACCCGCCCAAGAAGCCTTATCTGATTGGCTTGAAGTCCTCTGACCCCACTACTTCCCGCATGTACATGTGATTTCCCCGCACCTGCCCCATAACATCCGCTCCATATCTGGAACAAACCAATCGGATTGTATGATATTCGCCGTTACACAGACTGCCACCAGTTGTACCATCCGCATACTTTCAAGGCCCAGAATGGTTCCTAAATCTGCTCCGTCGCGCGAAGCTTGCATGCAAGGCGTGCAATGTTCGCACTGTCGCAATCGAGACGCCGCTTGCCAAATTGGTGAGAATCTGCATGGCAACTATGTACTAAAATCTTTCAGGGTGGATATTGTATCTCTCTACTCATCTCATGACCAAGCTGACGAGCAGAGACGGGCGCCCGATGCAAGCTCAGGTCTCGATCGAGAATCATACATCGTCCTTCCGGCTCGGCAGGACACAATGCTCCCGCCTTTCGTGGACGGTTCACAATTCGGTACGATGGCTTCGCTGAATATAATGTTACGTGCGCCACGGCAACACCGACAGACCAATAAACGTCTCCCTCTCTAATCACGAATTCTCATTGCAACATTAAATTGAAGACTTGCCAGCATTTGACTTCGTGGGCATCCAACGAGGCCTTGGGCTTTGAAAGATCCGCATTATACGAAACTTTGTCACGGTAGAAGACGCACACGCCCTCCGTAAAGGCTCGAGGAATAATTAGGGCAAGTTTGACCAATTTTTATATGAAAGCTTGTCATATTTCCTAAATGTTTGTCTATTAAGCTTTGGGATGCTCTACATTGCAATCAAAGCGCAACGCTACAAATTGGGCAACGTCTTTTAGAAGCATCCGGGTGTTCTCGTGCTACACGGGGGTTGAATAAAATAAACCCGTGCGGACAGCCAGAATAGAGTCTAAGAACCGCTTGGCCTCCAGCCATTATCCACCTACAGGCCACGAAGATTAAGTCCTCTAATAAGCAATCTTCGGTCCCGCAGGTTGTCAAAGCTGGTGGGAGCCGTAAACCCCGTAGGTCGGCATGAAATGGAGATATTTCCGGTCGTATTCTCTGTTCTGGCCTAAAATTAGGCAAATATACGCTGCGGAAGTGCGTAAGAGACTCTTTGTCTAACACTAATATCGGAAATTTGTTCAATTGCCTAGTACCGGGATGCCAGTGCATTGAAATATGCTGTAATGGATAAGTAATCCTTTTAGTTAACACAATATTTATTAACCGAGGAACGCAAGAGCGTGAGAACCGTTACTACAGCTAAATTTGCACCGCCGCGCTCCCCTCCGATACAAGCGAGTTTGGTATCATGCACCTTAGCAATATTGTCGATTACCCAATGTGCTACATCTAGGCAATCATTTGGAGTGGCTAAAAAGGGTGCTCTGGTGCAAGTCGAAATCCCACGGAAACAGATAAGTTGAGTAGAATCTATTGTGCTCTGTAAATATACAGTAGAGGACTCTTCATCGTTTAATACGCAACCACCACCATGGATGCGCATAAATATGCCTTTAGGCTTCAGGACGGTACCGATTGGTTTCAATATTCGGCAAGGAATATTGCGACCTTCATCTCGCGACGGATGAGAAGGTTTTTAAAAATAGCAGGGTTACAGAACCGGGAAGGGTCGTCAACCCTTTCTTGCGCATTGATCGATACTAACCAGGGCCGACCTATTACCACAGAAAAATAAAAACCTGCTGGAGGGAAAATGAAGACTGTCTGGGAGTTCCACATAATCCCAGAGAGTTACTCTTTAATATAAAAAGCCACAAGTCTGTTTCATCCGTCCGTATATATTATTACAAAGAACACGAGGAGTTGATGAATATATAGCTGCTATATAAGTTAAGTGTCGATTTGCAGATAAGACAGAAAGGAGAGCAATCTAGAGACGAGACTCGAGCTCGCGACACAGGATTACTGCGTAGAAACCGGGGGGGAGATCAACTTAATCCTCACAACATCGAATTGGTCTACAGCCATGGGCATGGTCAGTAACAACTATTTTATATAAAACCCTGTGACATATCACAAGAGGAATGGGGGCCTTCATTGGTATAGTTCTGAATCAATGAAATCGTCTGCCGTCCTATGTTTGGCTTAAGATCAGAGTGAATAGCTACGACGTTAAGTTACTTAGCTATGGACTGACCTAATCGCGTTCATGTCTGTGCCTTAGTACGTGCATTGTGAAAGCAACGAATGGTTCTGCGACTCAACGAACACAGTCTGATTATCGTAGCTTCCGAAGAGCACGGGATTTCTGCTTCAGAGTGAGCGTTTGAGCGCAGCCGAGCTTAATTATGGCCATCTAGTAGTCTATCGGGGGGTGAATTTCCTAGCACAAACACTATAAAGCCGCGGGATCACTTTTAATAGCTGTCACATGCTTGTAACACTAAACTAAAACATTAAAATTAGACAGAAACAAGGAAATTCTCCGACACTCAAGTAATATATCTAAGCCGAGTACATGATTGAAATTACCGGGAAGCTCGCTGGGTGAATACTAGTAAAAGTGCAGCGCGGTTCGCATTAGAACTACAAGAAGTCAGTTGGCGGATTTATCCTAGTACAGATATAAATTTAAATTATAGTAGTTGCACTCTTTATCCAATCAATGACCTCAGCGCCCGGCACTGGTTACCGCACTTCTGGCCAAGGGGAGGAAACTTATTCATGTTGCACTAGAGCCTTGGTGTTAGCTTTTATAAACGTCATGCCCTAGATGACGATGTGGTTTAGACTTGCCCTGCACTTTCCGAACACGATTATTGGGTCCTTCTTCACTTTCTTCTTCGCCCTCGCTGCTTCTTTATCCTCAATCTTTTTAAGCTCAGCCGCTAGCTTGCCGCAGCTCTTCTCAAGCTGGGCCGCAAGGGCATCGTCTTCCGGTCGCTCCGTGTTTAGCTTTTCACACGTCTCCGAGAGCTCTTCAAGGCCCCTGATTCTCTCCTTCTCTTCTTCCTCAGCCCTTTGGCGGGCCTTTTCCTTGGCGGCTGCCTCCATGTTTAGGCGCTCGTGCATTTCATAAGTGGTTTCCCACGGTTGCAAAGCGCCCCCTATGCCCTTGACGATTTTATACTTGAGCTCATTGCCGTAAATGTCATCGCGTTGGGGGCCGCCAATGGCCTCTTGTAGGCTGGCCATAGCATCGTCAAACCACCTCACGGCGTGCCCAACAGGGTTATCCCACTGCTTGAGCCTATCGAGCAAGTCGTGAGCATAGGGCGCCACGACCATGAATGCGGTAGCTCTGCCAACGGACTTGGGCACGCGGAAGCGGCTGAACTTTGCGACCTTTGTTCCCTTTGAGCGGCTCGAGCCCGGCAGGCATGGCCCATCGCGCTTCAGGCATGGTGAGCCCTTCGGATACGTGGTGCCTGGCTTCTTTCTCGGTCCCTTAAGTGTATCGTCCCTCCAGTCTGAACTGCCCGGCTTGGGCCTGCGAAGCTCCGGCAAGCCCCCTGGCATGTTCTTGATTGGGGCTTTGGGGCCGCCTTCGGGGGGCTTTAGCGACCCAGCTGGCCCCCAATCCTTGATGCCGTTCTTTATTGCTTCAGTAATTTGTTTGCCCGGCGGCGTCTCTTTGTACGGACCCTGGGGTGCTCTGTCAACAAGAGTCAGGTGTGCGCAGCCAAGCCCGAGAAGGGCAAAGCAGGTGACGGAGACCTTCATGCCTTGTGCAATGGTAGAAACGAAGGCCTTTTGTGGACGGTGAGAAGTAATTCAAGACTAGTTGAGGGTCGAAATTGTAATAGAGGCAGGTGGCAGGCTTTGTATTATGTTGTCTGGGCTATTATGACGTTTTGACGGTTCCACGGGCGAGGCGCAGACCTCGCAGCAGCAACTTCACGGCGCAACGTGACGTCGGCGTGACTCGCTCGAGTTGAAGCTTTGACATTAGATATGCTTACTAATTTCGCCTAGCGTATACTGTAAGCGAGGTAACTAGAGGTATCTCTACTCGTCAAAACGAGCAATATTAAACAGAGCGCCTGCATGAACTTCTGAAATTAGCATGCTGGTAAATAATCGGGCGTTATAAGACCTGTTTTGGCCCGCATGACCAACGCTTGGAACGGCGAGTGCCGAGTTCCACTTGAACTAGCCCGCTTCTAGAAGCAACATCCTGACTCGCTTGCCGTGACTTTTCAGCCTGACAAATTTGCGTGGATGATCCACATCCGGTATACATACACAAATAAGATTGTTATGGGGCGCCATTGGAACTACCGGTCTTGGCTATGCATTTGACCCATGACCTCGGGAGTCTGGAGGCCCCAGTCCGCCATCAATAGATATGCCCGGATCTTGACATGCCAACACGGACGACTCAGCAGCAGTTATGCGTTGTAAGATGGCAGGGGGCATAGTACGATCAGCAACTTGCCATTTCTACCATTCTCTCTTTACATATAAATTCGACATGTACTTTATTCTTCGGCCAATACCCTTTTAGCCTTTCTTATTTCCCCGTTCAACACGGCATATATACTAAATAACCATCTCGCTACGATTAGCCTACCGATACGCAATAAACCTCCGTCATGAAATACTTTACCATCCTCGCTATACTCTCGGTCCTGGCAGCAGCCAACCCCATCTTCTCCCGCCAAGAGGCGGATAACGCTCACCAACTCCTTACTTTCCGCCTTAACTTCTGCATCGACGCCAGCAAGCTAGAGTGCCAGGAGGCCAAGACAAAGTGCCAGGACGAGTCAAAAACTATCCGAGACTGCATCCGGGACGAGCACCCCGCTTGCATCGAGGACGAAGCGTCACCTTGCTCGGTGGCCGTTTCGCAGTGCCTGCGCGATTTTGGCGAGACAGAGGACGCCGACCAGGCCTTCGAGGACTGCATCGCCCACAAGGTGATTCCCAGCTCGGCCGCAAATGGCGACGACGAGGCCGGCACCGAGCAAGCAGCGGCCCCCGGCAGCCGGGCGAGCCCCGAACAAGTTGCCGCATGCGCAAAGGCCGGCGCCGAATATGAAGTGGCCTTGTTTAAGAATAACTGCGACGAAATAAATAGCGATGTGGGCGACGCGGCCCCAGAAGGCGAGTCGCCGGCTTGTAAGTCGGCAGGGGCCGCTTTTGAGCAGGCCTGGACGGCAAATAACTGCGAGGCAGCATTCGGTGTAAAGGAGTGAAGTAAAAGAAATCGAGTAGTTGGCTCTTCAATAGATTTGGTACACGACACCTCGAGTTACCCACTCTCTTCTCTTACACTGCCATGTGTCCGGATTCTATAACTCGTATAGATATTGCAAAGACCAGAGTCATTAAAGTACCCGACTCTGATCCTATTTCGTGGGAACTTTTGTATCATGCGGAGTTATATTACAAGGTCGTCAAAGAAGTCCTCCACCTTTATAACTTGTATTCCCACAATACGCGTCGTAATTGACCCGATCTAATCTGCCGTTTTGTCCGAATATACCCCGCGAAATATTATACGACTTGCGATGTTGAAAGTCGGAATAACAACAATTCAAAGGATTGGGAATCAGTAAAATAGTCTATCCACGGCCAAATACGGAGTATCGTGACCAGAACTTGGATTTAACGACTTTATCAATGAGCAACTGGCATTGCGGAATTTGAAGCTTGTACAGGCACGAGAGTAGGAGGTTATCGCATATATTCCATTGGAAGCTGAGAACGAAGACTCTGACGATATTGACATTTCAATGCACGTCTGTGTCGGAAGCCTTGAAAGGGCAGCAAATTAACCTTGACCCTTTTATACCCGGTCAGCCCCCCTGGAAACCCCTGTATGATGACCCTCGATTCGAGCTAGCTGGCCTTAACTTAGGCCGTAGAAAACGCAACTATCATAACCAACAGCCTTTGCACGTCACCCTCTCGACCCAACAGAACCATCCCATAACCCCCTGGAACGACTAGTACTTTTGTTAGTTGACAGTTTCTGGCAGCAATCCGGCCAGATCCGTGGAATTCACTCAAGTGGCTTAGCTATGGGACGACTCCCGGACGAGGCACCTGGTGAACTCTGGGATAGAGAATAACTCATCAACAGGTTCAAGACGTCTGATCTCAACTAGTCTAGGTTAGTGAATTAAAACGAAGACTGCACATGTGAGCTTCACCAAGTTGGGTCTAGTGACTCGGACCAGCCGTGGCCCGTGCCGGGTCTCTAGCTCCATGTCTGCATATCCCTTGGAGTGTGCTAAGGTTAAAGTGAGGTAGCAGACCCCACTTTTCTGCGATTCCTAGGAGCTACCTCTTTAATAGCAGGGTCGGCTGCGATAATAAGATGTAGCTCTTTGTAAATCTGGAAATTTCTGGTACCTTTATTATCACATTAGTTATTACTTAGCGGAATCATGTACCTTTAAATGCAATGATCTCTATTGGCCCAAATCCTGGTCGGTTACAAAAAATGGACCTTAGCACACTCAAAGGGATGGTCTAGTCTGGTCTGGTGGGCTCAAGAGTGCCCATGCGGCTACTAGCAGGCTGCCAGACGTTAGCCAGGCGATGCTCCGTGCACGTGCCAGTGACGGCCCAGCGAGGCTTGAAGCCTCCATGTGTCACACGAAAAAATACCAAAAAACGGGTGTGGCCACGCCACGGTATTTTATGTGTTATACCCCCTTATATCCCTTGCGACACCATGCTCCCCCGTACGCCACCAACTCCGCAACTTGATCTCTCACCTTGACTCATCTTGGACTTACCAACTGTGCTTCGCTTTGTTACTGTGGTCTGATATCGCTGGTCGTGTCGGCATCCTTGGGCGACGAACACCCATCGACATCTGGCCTCTTGATCAGACGACTTTATATCGTCCATGATGCCTTCCGCACAAGACATTGCCTCGAAATTGGCCTACATTACTGGACAACTCACTGCGGGAGGGACGAATGCACAGATGAAGGCGTGGTATGACGAATACAAGAAGCTCAACGTGGAACTGAAGGAGGCCAAGGCCATGCAGAAGAAAAACCCAAAAGATCCGAATGATCTGCAAGACCCAAAAGATCTAAATGATCCCAAAGATCCAAAGGCTACTTGAAGTATCCTGCTACGCAGCCCGACGAACTCACAGTAAGTCCATCTCAAAGAATTTGGGTCTATGTAGTTTTGCCAACAGAAGCAAAGTAAAGTAGATATCTTTTTTAATTTGGTAGACGACCATGGTAGTTTACAAGTTCAAATAAATGGTGGTTTCGAAGGCTCATCATCGCGATTTCCAAGATTGACTGAATCCACTGCGTCCACTGCGTATCCTGATGATACTTTGAGATCATGCGTCAACGCTGTTGGACCAAGTGACAACTCGGACTTCCCAAACAGACAGGTCTAATTTGGAGACTCTTTCACAGCGAGAACAATGTACGGCCGAAGGGCAGGATGGTCAGCATAGGGCTCGATGGGCGGAGAGAGACAAGATTCTTCCAGATTGAGTGGGATGCTGCTGCTTTTGGAGTATTCTGGAACTCCGTGTTCACCAGCAACTCGTACACACTCTGACCAACTGTATCTGTACTTGACTCGTTCTTGACAGAGCGGCAAGCTGCCATTCACTTGAACATGCAAGTCATCTATGAAGCATGGCGAGCTGACCTTGAGGGAATCGGTGTACCTCCACTGCGTCACGACGTGTACTCGAAACCTGCTGGATGCAAGTTTAGGGTTAGGATCAAGGGTCTCCCAGATAGAGCGCCTTGATTTATATTTTTTGCTTCGCTATTAGCGGTTTTTAAACAGTATTGTCCTTCACTAGCGATAATGAATATTCAGTTGGAAGCCCAGTTCCAGTTTAACCCGCGTCGTCATGACCATTCCTATCGCCCTCGGGTAACCGTGCGAGAAAACAACATCCTGATAAACTTGGTCATCTGGGTCGTCTGGGTCATACGCACAAGCCTCCTTGAAACAACACTGCGAAAAGTCGTGGATGAAGGGCTTGTGAGTGTCCCGTTCGACAATGACATTTTGTGGTCGGCAGTCATTCATGACGACGCCGTGATCGTTGATGGCATTCGCTATATCAACTGCCGATTGGACGATGCCTTCCAGCTCTTTTGCTTTGGGTACGTTTGAGGGGTCGGCCAACTGCCAAAGACTACAGCCGTCGATAAGCTGAATTAAGATACCGGGTATACGGAAGTAGACTTCCGTTTGAGCCAGGTTGGGCAGGGGTTGTGATACGTAGACGTGGGCGAGCATCGTTGGGATGCACGTTCCCTGAAGGTCGGCCAATCTCTCGTATGTCGCCGTCTCTGTGTCAAAGTACTCGAGAACTCGACGTTGCAGCCCCCCTTGGTACTGTGCGCGGCCTTCCCAAGAGTCCTCTTAGTAGTCGTCTGGAGACCAAAGAAACAGAGATGCAGCCTGCCCTTGCTCTATTCGGTTGAAAAATTCAGGGGCCCTGCCTTGATGTGCGTACTCTTGCCAGGTTGCTTCGTCTTCGGAGGTATGAGGTGAGTATTTACCGTTTATCGTGCGGAAATCTGGACCGAAACGTCGGTCATAGAGCTTCAGATTAGCCTTTCTAGGTCCTGTTTGGGTATCGAAAGTGACTACCATGACTGGCGACTGTGTGACCCTGAAAGTCTTCTCGATGGTCACGGAAAGCTGCTCGCTGACGCAGTCATTGAATGTCCGGGTGACGATGAGACTAGCGATCGACCCGCCACGTAAGGCGTTGAGGTAGGTCTAGGCATTTCTTGACAGATTCGATCTCGCGGGAAACGATGCAGAACCCTTTCAGCCAAGCCTCCTACAAACTTTCAGGGTATTCATGAATGACATGACCAACCCCGCGGAAGTGCTTCGCCTACTGAGTCGGTGTATGAGGACTATGTCGACAATGAAGCGACCATAGTCGTCAAGACGAGCTGGCAACTGATGAAGAAGTACCCAAGACAGAATTCTCAAAAGGCGTTCAATTAAGCATGCGTAGGCTTTCCGAAAGATTTCGGATTTAGCAATGGCCTGTCTGCTCCGCGCCCTGACCTTGTTGAGGGGCTTGAGATGGGAGAGTATCTGGCGTTTCCGGTCCACAGACACGTCAAAAAGGATAGGGCTCGTTCCTCGAGGTCATCGTATACTGCTGGGGAATAGATTTGTATGGAAGAAGTGAGGCTGCAGAGCGCCGCCAATGACGGAGCTGCCCGCCTACGCCCGCAAGTGGGAACCAAGCTCTTTCCTATCTTGGGACATGCCGAGGTCACGACATTCACTACAGACGGCACTAATCCTAACTTGTTCAAACATCAAGGTGACAGCACTTTCTCGGAGACACGCAGACAAAGATTATGTGCTGGCCCGACTACTATCCTGGCTTTGACTAGGGTATAGTGGGAGATTACATAAGATACTACGTCTTCACTTAACCTTTTCCTGTAAGGTCTGCCTATCTCGACCATTTTACAGACGCATCAATACCTGGATAATGTCTGGTGGTGCAAGAGCCTAGGTATGCCTCAAGTGCTGGCACGTGCGCGATGAGCACACATCATAAACTCTTTGATCGCTTTTTTGTATTAATAGCATCCCGTGCATACTCAAAGAGCTATTAATAACTTTGCCTTTGATGCGAGTGCCCGCGCTAACCCAAAGTACGTACTTGGGAGCTTCCTGTAGTGGTTAGAGGAGTCTCCGTAGCTAAGAGTCCAATGAGTACATGAACCTGTAAACAGTTGGGTGGCTTCGCGATGGTGGACCAAGGCTGAACTGTTGTTTTGGCGCACTTATCCACTCGTAGGTGCCATATGGAGCACTCGGGTATACATAGATCGTATAACGGTACAAGCAGAGCAATGAAGGCACGGACGGGATGAAAATAATATGCTGTATTGTTAGAGCTACGGCAGCTAACTGTGTGTGAAGATCATAATAGTGCTCAGATACATGCGGGGATCCCTGTAGGACTAGGTCGCGTGGTGGCGTCACAACAGATCAAGTGCTTGCAAGTAGTATAAACCGGCATGTAGCCTCCATCTTGGCTGTTTTTTATTTTATTCATGTTTTTCATTTATTCATTCTTCTCTGCCCAGGTGCCGGCCTATTACATTGGTGCCTTCTCAGCACTTGGTCTCCTGGACCCAAACACGTAGAGTGTGCCTCCCGGTCGACAAACTGTAACGCCATGCATATAGCTTATACATATTTCTAAAGGCAACTGGCCACTCGTTTATGTACACAAATCGAGCCTCAGTTGGCAAATAACGACCCAATTTACCATGGCTGGCAGCAATTCAATTGCATCTCTTCTTTTATTGCTATTCCTAGTCTATGTGCGTTTACATTCCCCCCTGTAGATTGGCTCTGTTGCTAATAAGCCTGAATAGCACACGGCACTTGCCCTTAAAGGAACTAGAATCGAGAGCAACCTAGATACGATCCACTACCCTAGAGAAGCTCCTCCCCCCTTTAAGGTGAATTGCGGCCCTGGACCTCAACACGAGCGTTACGCCAACTATGGCGACGCTATCCAGGCAGTCAACGAAAACTACCTATATATGATGACGCGTCCCGGACTCGATATTGAAGAGCGCTTTGCCCACGGCTGCTGGGGCTTGCTTAAGAAGGGCACAGCTCATATATGGATGTGTAATAATGTAAGTTTGAAATTAGAGAACGAGATGAACCAGCGTCTATAAAGCATCTTGGGCTGTTTACTTAGTAACTTGTAACTCGGTAGAATGATCATACTATCTATGTAAGACACACAGCTATACTGCCGATGGCTATGCAGATTATAAATCAATGTCGAAAAGGAGATACAACCCTCGGTGAGGCATTCACCAGTAATAACTGGTATTTGTTTGTTTCGGCCTGATACCCTCTGTATTACTTCCTAGTCTTCAATGCTGCATTTTAGTTTGCATTTAATGCTTACTAAAAAAGCAGTGCTTTTGCAAAATACCTTGTAGGAAATATACTTGATACATATAATGTGAAATGTAATGGTTTGCTAGTCAGGATCAACTAGAATAATCAGAGACATTCACACAATGCTTTACAAGTATCTATACTCTGTGACTTTACGAGATTTCGCCTATGATATGCCTACTCCTACATTTATTATGTCAGTCCCTGCAGACAAGGCTTGGATGAGCCGGGTTGTGTTGTGGGCGGCTCTGTGATGCTTGTATTGTCGCCCTGAACGTGCTGTTACTTGATATCTGGTCCATGTCTAAATATATCTATATGTATTTGCAAAGGCACCTAGGTGCCTTGGTGCGCCGACAGTGAAGCGAATCTCAGCAGTGGTGGTGATCAGGGTGAGTTCTAGGACGTCTGAAGGCGAGGGCCGGGTTTGCACGAGAACGAGCCGAGAAAAGGAAGCAAAATGTCTCAGAAAAATATGCTATTGGAACCTGAGAAAACCTGAGTTTTGCTAGCGGCTGTGACAGTATGTATTATCCCCGCGTGAAAGATCAATTCATGAATGCATGCCACATTATTGCATCGTTCTATGGCCACTAGACGAGCCAGAACACACACGCTTGTAAGCTGCATCTTGGGAATACTCCGGCCGTGGGTCACTATTGGTAGATGGTTTTGCTCCATGACACCATGGTCTAACCCAACACTACAACACTACAACAACGTGATGACAATGTGAAACCACATGCAACCTGCAGAAGCGGTGGTGAGAGAGCCGCCGATGTCGGCAGCTGTGCGAGGGCAACACATTACGGAGTACAGAGTGGTGATGCGAGTCGATCAGAATTGGAGAGCCTAGTATTCGGTACGAAATGAGTTGTCCTAGCGTTCAATGAATGCATTCATTGAAATTGTAGCCGGATGCCCCGTATGGCACACTGAAATGCCATTGATCGAATTTGCTCTTTGACGACCCCAAGGCGCCGAATGCGGTTTGGAGCCGAGACCATTTTGTCCTCCCATCTCTTCCATCCTGGTCCCCGGTCAACGGTAGGCCCACTTCAATGTTCCGTTGTGACCACTCACACACCAGATCAACGTGACATTTGAATTGGTGGGTCGGGCCAGCCTATGCACGGTATCGTCACCGCCTTCCTCTTCACTGGAACCACTTGTGAGTCTTCCGATAAGAACAAAGCCCTCCGCGTGCCTCGTGCCTCTCCAAACTATCCATCTGACATCTCTTGTCATCAATTGAAACTCTCCCGGGAACATACCCCACAACTTGGGATTGAGTACTCCGCAGTACGAATCTGACACTAGACATGAGTCAGCTACCCGCAAGCCCCCTCTAACATCTCCACTCTTAACTAGACCACTTCGGTGTCGGCGACACTTTTTTTTTTTTATGACGACGGAGCTCAATCTTAGCTCATCTCGCTATCGTCCCCGTGACGCAGACGCCATTCCTTCCAGCCTGCCATACTTTATCTTTGGATTTTGTTGTATTGGTTACCCATCACCCATCTGCCACTGTCGCTACAAGCCTCCTTTCATAACTGCACGGCAGTCTTCTGTGGCCACCTCCACGTTCGTCAGTCTGCGCCCTCGTCATAACCATGGCGGGAACGACAAACCACCAAGCGCGTGGCTCGGATGACTACAATGTGTTTGACGACGCAAAGACATACTATGCTTCTGAAGAGCGACATCAGAACCGATTTGGCTCCCGGACACGTACATACTCTCAGGTATTGTTCCACTTGTTTGCGACGTCGTGGATACAAATTTTGACTGTACATAGAACAGCTTGATGAAGCAGTTTGAACGAAACGGCCTGCGTGAACCACACAGAAGAGGCAGCCACGGTGAGACTACACTTTTCCTTTCTTTCCATCGAGCGCAATCAACATATCTAATTCTGAAAATAGACGAGAGTTCTCTGCCCCAAGGCCGCCGATTCCTCATCCAAGTCGACCCTACTCTCGAAAGCTTGCAAGCACAAGAAGATACCGATGGCAATATGCAAATTACCATCGAGGACGAAGGCCCCAAAGTGCTCTCCTTACGAACCGCAGCTTCTGCTGGCCACAATCGTTTCGAAGTCCGAGGCACATATATGCTCTCCAATCTACTGCAGGAATTGACCTTGGCAAAAGAATACGGGCGGAAACAAATCGTTCTCGATGAGGGTCGGCTAAATGAGAACCCAGTGGATCGTCTGTCCCGCCTGATCCGTGACCACTTCTGGGATGGCCTGACTAGACGTATCGATGCATCCAGTATCGAAATAGCCGCGCGAGACCCCAAGGATTGGACAGATGATCCTCGAC